CTTTTCCGATTTACTATAGTCTTTAATTTCAGTCATTATCCACCTATCGCATCTTGATGGTAACTTTGACTTAAAAGATTTATTAACGGAAAAATCGAGCGGCTGAGTTTTTTTAGCTATCCACTCGGAATAACTGACAACTTTGAATGTTTGCCTACTAATCCGTTCACATCATCAGTAATATGTGCAGGGAAAGAATCTATTATAAATAAGGATTTTGGTTTGAAACGGCTTGTTTTCCTTTTATTCAAACATTTTCAACCCGCATCTTCAATATATCTTGATTGACTTATCCCTTCTCATTTGCAACAATCAAAACATCTTTTGAAAAGTTTCTTTTAAGCACTGATACTCTCTTAAATATAACCAAGGGATGAAGCTTCCCAACATTGAAAGGCACACTTAACACCACAGTAAAATTCTACTTCTCGTGTCCAGTTGTAGCTATGAAAACTTCGTTAGATCCTTTGAAAATAACAGTCCTTGAACCACGGAGATCAAAGTTAACGGGTATGTCGTCCATGCAGGATCTACCCACACAAATTTTCTTTAGCGAAAAGTCTAAATTTCTCTACTTTCGCTTCCCGAGTAGTTTTTGCACAACACTCGAAGATGAACGAATACATAAATCTAAGATCCGATTATGTGTAAGCTATAACATTTACTATTTTTTCCTCCTTTGCAACCACTTTTTCCCTCAGCAAAACAACTGATTGTTGAAAGTTTATGTTCTTCAGATCTCTCTGAACAAACCGACTCAAGAAGTGTTTTATTGAGCTCTGCTCTGAAGCGTCTCCTGTACTTCATTGCACGTTGCTTCTGGTGCAAACATTTTAGAATTACTTCTTCTTTCCTCCATTCATGTACACTGGACTCTCCAACTTTAAATTTCCTGGCTGCCTCACGTTTACCTTCTTCTTTCGCGAAATTAACGGCTTCCAGCTTAAACAACGTTGTATATGATTTTCTGTGCACAGTATTTTTTCTCTCCATGAGTATTTTTCTCAGTAGCAACTTACAACTTTAAAAACCAAACACTTGCAGAATACACGTGTTCAAAGACCAGAAGCAATATGATGACTCGTTAATTCTACTGTTCGTTTGTTTTAGATACAGCAAAATTATTCCATTGTTCATTTGTCCAAAAACTGCCTATTTTGATAATAAATAGGCTACACGCTATCTATGCTTCTTGCATTAAAAGCTGCCTGGTATTTAGTAGATGCGCGTTACCTATGATTTCAGCGAGCATGAAGAGGCACAAGATGCGCCGTATCCATGGGAAAATATGGTACTATAAAAGGGAAACAGAAAGTATTTGGGCACGAAGATAAAAAAGAGGTAAAAATACAAATTGAAAATTTTGGAGAGTAAGAGCGCATTATTTGCTGCTGAGCCTGCTTCCCCCATGGCGACTGTAATTGTCTATTAAACTAAATTGATGAAACGGTGAAAAGACGAAGAAGTGCAAGATGGACCCTATTAGAAACACCCTGGATTTTAAATACACTACTTTTAGTAAGTGATTGGAATTGGGTGTGAACACATTACTCGTGTTATGTACTGTGGAGTACAAATAAATTTAAAATTAAATATGTTGCATTAATTATTTAAATAATATATTAAATAAATAGTAATGTGACAAGGTTTTGCATGCAATAAAATAGCCTTTATAAACGACACAGTAAGGAAGCAGCTTTTGTAAACTCCTATGCAATCAGTTTTCAGAATACTTTCATG